AAAATAAATTAAACCCAATTAAAAACTAAAAACCTAAATTAACTCTAACAATCATTATTTTATTCAAATAAATCCTAAAAATACTAATCAAGAGTAACAAATAAGTGTAACAAAATATGTGTTATCAAATTCCCCCACACTTATCTTTTTGCACTCCTGGGCAAAAACTAAAATTGAAAGTAAATACTAAGATCAACCAATCCTTTCTAACAATTACCAAGCATACAGAAAATATACAAAGATCACAAGTCTTCTACAGATAAATCAATCAGGACAGAAATTCCCTAATCTCAAATCACAAGACCTGCTAACTTCAACTGCAACTGCTAACTGCATAAAAAATGGTTCCTCACAAGATGCTCTCAATTTTTCTCTCAAGTGTATCAGTTAATTCAGTATATCACTCAAATCAACTCAAGAAAATCATCCTACCATAGGCTTGCTCAAGTTCTACTTCTCCACTGCTCATAACACATGCATGCACAAATCAAGAGGGTTTTATGCAGGGTTGTAATGGGGCTGAGGTAAAGGTATGGATGAATATGGAAGAGAAAGCTAAACACCCCAGAATTTTACAAAGAGCAAAAGTTAAGAACTAAACTAAGAACATAAAACAAAGATACTGAAAAGATAAACACTTTTTTTTCTTTTTTCTTTTTTTGTTTTTTGTTTTTTTTTTCTCTTTTTTTTTTCTCTTTTTTGTTTTTTTTGTTTTTTTTGTTTGTTTTTGTTTTGAAGAAGTAAAACCACATAGCAGAAATGAATCAGATGGTCACCCCCCACACTTAAACTTTTGTCCGTCTCGGGCAAACCCCCACACTTAAACACAACATCACAATGAAACCAATGCTCAGTAAAACTCCAGGGTGTGGAATTAATTGGTTTTTCACTTAGGCTTGTAATCAACAATCAAGAGCAGAAACACACAAGAAAGAAAGCATGGCCAGAAGATATGCCATGTATGCAGGCTCAAAACCTCACAAGGGTAAACCAAGTCATGCAATCAACAACACAGAATCAATCAACAGGTAGTTGTAATCCAAGAATCGAGATCAAAGCCCAACAGATTTATGCTATCAAACACTGTGATCTATGTCTACTCTATGTACCACTCAATAATTACCAGAAAGAAAAGGAAAATCTACCTATGAAAAAAATCATAAACTAAAAGAAAGAAAGGAAAAGAAAAATAAAAATGCAAATAACAGAAAGAAAAGAAAAAGAGGGAAGAGAACTCCCTGAACTCCCTAAGGAGAATAAACAGCATCAAGTAGCTTGATTTCTTCCTCACTGGTTTAACACCTTCAAGTAAAATGCGGTGCATGCACATGGAAGGGCTGATTCCCACATTATCTGCTAAAGTCCATCCAATTGCCTTTTTATTTTCTTTCAGCAATGTCAGAAGGTTTACCTCCTGCTCAGGTAGAAGGTTCTTTGCCACAATGACTGGTAGTTGCTCATTCTCTTCAAGAAATGCATATTTCAAGTGGTCGGGCAGAACCTTCAACTCCAATTTCGGAGGCTGCTCAATGGATGGAAGAGGTGTAGTTGGTGGTGCAAATTCTGCAGAAAACAAGTCAGCAGCAATGCCTGTAAACAAATTCTCAGAAACAGAATTAGGATCATCAATAATATCAGCAGGCAATTCAGAAAATGCAGATTCACATTCAGAATCAGAATCATCAATCAGTGCATCATTGAAACCAGAAAGATGAGATGCTATTTCAGCACACACAATGCACTCTTGACTATCACCACAACCACAGAAATCCGAATCAGTAGATGAAAAATCAGAAAAATCAGCAAGGAATTCAGCAGAAACATCCTCAACAACTTCGTCTTCAATGCAGAAAACAGAATGCTCAGATGTATCAGTGCTCTGCTTCTTGGAGCTAGTGTCACTTCCCTTAGATGACTCAGCAGCAGTGTGGTTTGGCTCTTCCATATGCTCGCCAGACCGCAGAGTAATAGCACTCACATTTCCGCTTCCCTTTGGATTTGGAACTGTTTGGGATGGAAGGGAGCTGCCACTTGCTTGTTGATTTTGACTCATTGACGTTGCAAGTTGGCTAATCTGTGTTTGCAGATTCTGGAGGGAAAACTCAGTAATGTGCTGGAACTGCAGATTGTTAGTTGCCATCTGCTTCACTAAATCCTCCAAAGAAGGGTCATTGCTACTAGCTCGCTGCTGCACTAGTGGCTGTTGCATTTGCTGCTGCATTGGCTGTGGAGGTGCAAATTGGTGAAAATTTTGCCTCTGTTTTGAAGGTACAAACTGCTGCCTCTGCTGGAATGGTGCACTTTGCTGATTCTGCTGGAATGGTGCACTTTGCTGATTCTGGCTCCATTTGAGATTGGGATGATTTTTCCAGCCAGGATTATATATATTGTAGAAGGGATTATTTTGCTGCTGGTAATGTGGCTTTCCAGGAAAAACTGCAGCAACAGACTGATCAACTTGGAAACCGCTGTCTGGAAAGGAAGGACAAGCATCTGTAGGGTGAAAAATTGGATACATAGCAAACAGAAGCAAAAATAAATCTACTAAAAATACTAAATGAACTCAGAATGCTATGGGACCAACTCTCCTGAACTCTAATTGACCTTACGGACTCAAGAATCAAATAAAATTTTTTCGAAAAATAAAATAAAATAGTAAACAAAGGAATTTGGCAAAACCAGGGCCTGATAAGTGAGGCAAAGCCTCACGCTTTTTGACAGGGATGATCGTCTCCTTCAGCTAACCAATTTTCAGAGCGATCAGAGCAAGTTGAACAAGTTCAGAAATACCCGATACATCCTGGAACCAATCGCTCAAACTGAAGTAATACCGATTTCCCCAATTTTATTTTATTTTTTTTATTGATTGATTTTTTTTTTTTGATTGATTTTTTTTTTTTTTTCAAAAACGAAAATTAAAGAAAAAGAAGATGAAGATGAAAAAGAAGATGATCAAGAATCAGAAAACGATTTAGACCGATGCAATTTCCCCGGCAACGGCGCCAAATTTGACACGAGCTGTCAAACTCGCGCAAATTAAAAATTAATTCTTTAGGGTTCAGAAAATTTGCAGTAAAGTGGAAACCCTAAGTCGTCTCTCAAGGAAATTATTTTGATTAAAATCGCTTATGAGAACAGAAAATAAAAGGGGGGGTTTTAGATTTTGATTCAATAATTAAAGAGGCAGAATATAAATTTGGAATAAAAATTCGTAATTAAAAATAACCAACCTAAGGTTTGGGTTCCATGGACGTCTTTCCTCGGATAAGAAGATATTAGAATCGTGATTGATTTGTCAATCGGATCAGAATCCTTATTTCCAATTGACAACCCTCTCTAAGCGATCGCTTAGCATTTGATCAAAGACGATGCTTCTACTCATACAATCGCAGAGTATCAGCCCGCTTGATTTAAGGTCATAGGGTCAATCAACCTAATCATCAAATCTGATGATTAATCCATTTCCATAATCGCAATCGCGAACCTCAGATTGAATATCCACGATCGCACGATATCAATCTGAGTTGGGAAGGGAAACAAAACTGATTTGAAATAAACGCAGATCCTCAAGACCAATCCATGGAATCCATTACCCTTAGGTTGATTAAAAGGTTCTTAGCCTCGCATGGCTAAGGTAAACATAATTGAAATAAAAAGAAGAAGAAGAAGAAGAAAAGATGAAGAACGCAATTGAATAAAAACTCAGAGAGAACTTCTCTGTTGTAAAAACTGACTACCAAGGGTTTCCTAGAGTCCCCTTTAAATAGCCGTCACGCAGGACGGCTAGGGTTTTATCGCTTCAGCCCAAACATAAAATAAAAAAACCGAATAAAATAAAATGAAACAATAAAACTTGGCTTTGGGCCACTTAAGTAATTGGGTTTTAATTTAAATTACAAGCCCAATAGTCAACAAAACTTCAGCAAAACGCGTCCAACTTGGTGTCCAAAATCGACCAGCTTCTAGTCCGAATTGGGCTTAGAGCTCTGCATAAGAATTGTAGCTCTCTGTGTTATCTGAAAAACCCAACAAGAACGGAGTCAATCCGACAACTATGGACCGAGATATGGCCAAAATACAGAAGTAACGTAAAGCTGAAAAATTCTGACGAAAATAAATTAAACCCAATTAAAAACTAAAAACCTAAATTAACTCTAACAATCATTATTTTATTCAAATAAATCCTAAAAATACTAATCAAGAGTAACAAATAAGTGTAACAAAATATGTGTTATCATTAAGCCTTATCATAATTATTAGGGTCAATTATGAAATTATTTCCTAATTTCTCATAATTAATTAATTAACTTCCTTAATTAACGGTGCGGGTTCTTACACTACCCCTTTTAATACCGTTCAATTACAATCTTATCCAACGGTCGATATTTGTGATATAAAAAAACCTTTTTTTCCCATTCCTTTCTCCTCACTTCCTCTCACACCTTTTCTCTCTCCTCCCTTTCTCTCTTTCTCGAAAAATGATCTCTGTTCTCTCTATGTTATGTCCAACAACAGACCTACTTGGTTTCATAACATAGGACATCTGGGTTTATTTTTTCTTGACACCCCATTTCAATTTTTTATGTAAATGCTCATAACAATGGCTGAGTTGAATGAATTGAGAAAAAAGCTTGTACCTTTTTTTGATGCTGAAGGGCCATTGAAGAAAGAGAAAGGGGAGGAGATAGAAAGAGTGAGAGACAATGAGAGAGAGAAAGGGTAAAAGAGTTTATTTTTATATAGTAAATCTCCACCGTTGGATGAAATTGTAATATAATAATATTGAAAAGAATAAGCAAAAGTAAGCAAATTAAGAGTAAGTAGAATAACCTATCCCGAATATGTATGAATTAATATTTGCTTAGTTCTCCGTTTTTTTTTGTCTTTTGTCTTTTGTAAAGCTTAGTTCTCCTTAACGCGATAGTAATTATAATTACCAACATCAAATTTCAAAATAATAAACATAAAAGCGCACATCGTATATAACAGAACGATGCGTTTTAACCTCTAAGCAGAGACGAAGAATCGGAGCTGATTTGCCTGTGTGACCAAATTGCTCTCTTCTTTATTTCCTATGCTTCTTCTTCCTTCATCTTTTTTTCAATTAGGGTTTTCTTCAAACCTCTTTTTTCTTCTTCGAACTCACCAGCCGGAATCCTAGCCATTCTGCGACAAGGTATGTTTCGTTTCTTTCTACAATTTCTTTATCAAGATTATACGTTTACATGTTCTTTTATTTTATTTTTTCACGTATACATGTTCTTTGAATCTGCCTTGGTAATTTTATTGTCCATTGTGAAAAAAAAATTGATGTACAATTTTGAATCTTGTAAAAGAGAAATTATTTGTCTTTGTTTACACAATTGTTATTGGGTGTCTCAAACTTGAGTAAAATTCATGCCTCCCCCCTCCCCCTTTTTTATTTACAACTTTTTCAATTTTTGTGGTAGTATTTTTCGATTTTATTTCTTTTGAGAAATGGAGTGTTGTTTTAGGTTTACCTTTTTTTTTTTCTTTCTAAAATTATTTTAATGTACAGCTACGGTTGTTATTGGTAATGGAATTGAATTGTTTCTTGATGTTATTTGTGTTTGATTTCACAATAGAAATGAGAATTTTGGTGATTAATCAGTGGAAAATATTAAAAGATAAAAATCAGTGAAGATATATGTATATATATGAAGTATTAAAATTTCTTGTATTCTTTGTTTTTGTATATTTTTAAAATTTTTAAAATATCTAACCACTGGCTAGAATGTTTGTGACTAAATTTTACTATCCCTGTTTCTAAACTTTGAGAACTGAGAAATCATCCTGGATCTTGTTTTTGAGCATCGATGACTTCTGGGAAATTTTACTATCCCACTTTCTTCTACATGAGTCCTGTCAAGTACTGAATAATAGTACACCACTGATAATCTTTAGGTGTTAAGATGCAGTATAAAGGTTAGAGGCAAGATCAAAAGGTTAAGAGTCTATAATTTTGTTTATGTGACTTATGGACATTTAGATTACTTGGTTCACTTCTGAAGCTTCGGTTTTCTACAAAGCTTTTACTCTTGTAGCAAGTATAGAATTGGATATTTGTGAATATTATAATATTGGGCTTATTTGTATACTTTATGCTGGTGCTTCCTCCCTTCCTCTTCAATTTTAGTACATCCTGACTTCTTCATAATTCTTTTGATAATTTCCGCATAATCTTTATTAAACTCAGTATAAAGCATAGTTCTGAAAACTGGGCCAGTTCAGCTGGCTCAAATGGTGAACCAGCTGGTATACCGGTCCGGTTATATGCTTTAAACTGTGTGTGCTAGAAACTGATCAAAGGTCAACTGAAACAACCTATTAGCTGGAATAATGTAAATCAGAGGCAGCTTGGTACCTTAATCTGGATTTGATTATCTTGAACAAGGGCTTCCAAGGTGTTTTTTTGTCCTTGGCTTCAAAATCGTGAAGTTTGGGATTCTAACACCACAAATTGGACTGGAGGGCAGGTGCCTGAGTCTGACCACCAGTCCACCCATGCTCTATTTATATATGCCATGCATACTGTTATTGTGTACTTATTGATAATGCAAAACTATTAGAGCCTTTAAAAATTAAAGAAATTAATTTTAAGTACAGCCTGGTTGAAACACTAATCGGTAAACTATTAATTGTATAATAAAGTGTGTACTATTGCGTGTTGGACAAGGTTTGATAATGTGGTCAATCTTTTCATAGAAGCTGATGAGTGAATTATGTTTTACATTACCCCTCTTAAATAGACCTCCTAAGTAGGGTATTGCTCCTTTTGTCTTTAAATTTATGGTTACATTTTGATTTTGTTTTTTATTATTCAGATTTAAAACCTTCTTGCTGCTATGTCATTATTAACACACATGTGCCCTCACACACAATAGGCAATGCAAAGATGCTATCCTGTTCATTGTATTTTTATATTTTTGAATGGAAAATGTTGTATGGAATTTTATGGGAATGCTTTTGTTCCAGGTTCATGCGATGGACTTGTCTGATGCTGTAATAGTCAAATCTAGTAGATTGAAATCTGTCGTATGGAATGATTTTGATAGGATTAAAAAAGGCGATACCTGTGTGGCTGTTTGTAGGCATTGTAAAAAGAAACTGAGTGGATCAAGTACCAGTGGAACATCACACCTAAGGAACCATTTAATCAGGTGTCAGAGAAGGTCTAACCATGGCATAGCACAATACATTACAGCCAGAGAAAAGAGAAAAGAAGGGACTCTTGCAATTGCAAATTTCAATGTAGATCAAGATCCAAACAAAGATGATGCCCTTAACCTTGTGAATATTAAATTTGAGCAGACACAGTTGAAAGATGACTCTGTCAACACTGGAACTAGCAACTTTGATCAAAGACGGAGTCGATTTGATCTTGCTCGCATGATTATTCTACATGGATATCCATTGGCTATGGTTGAACATGTTGGTTTCCGAGCTTTCGTGAAACATCTACAGCCCTTGTTTGAGCTTGTGACGTTGAATAGGGTTGAGGCTGATTGTATTGAGATTTATGAGAAAGAGAAAAAAAAGATGAATGAGATGTTGGATAAATTGCCTGGAAAAATCAGTCTTAGTGCTGATGTCTGGACTGCTATGGATGACGCTGAGTATTTGTGTTTGACATCAAATTACATAGATGAATCATGGCAGTTGAGAAGGAGGATATTAAATTTTATAAGGATTGATCCTTTTCATACTGAAGACATGCTTTCAGAAGCTATCATGACTTGTCTGATGGATTGGGATATTGACCGTAAATTGTTCTCCATGATATTGGATAGTTGTTCTACCAGTGATAACATTGCTATTAGAATCAGTGAGAGACTTTTGCAAAACAGGTTTCTTTATTGTAATGGTCAATTATTTGACATGCGCTGTGCCACAAATGTTCTTAACGACATGGTTCAGCATGCTTTGGGAGCTGTAAGCGAAATAGTCAATAAGATTCGAGAAACAATTCATTATATTAAAAGTTCACAAACTATACTGGCAAAGTTCAATGAGATGGCTAAAGAAGTAGGGATCCTGAGTCAAAAGTCTTTATTACTAGATAATCCATTGCAATGGAATTCCACATATTCAATGCTTGAAGTTGCTTTAGAATTCAGGGATGTTTTTATTCTTTTGCAAGAAAATGATACTGCCTACAAAATCTGTTTATCTGATGTTGAGTGGGAGAGAATTACTGCAGTTACCAGCTATTTGAAGCTTTTTGTTGAGGTTGTAAATGTTTTCACTAAGAGCAGGTATCCAACTGCAAATATATATTTCCCTGAGCTGTGTGATGTTAAGTTGCATTTGATTGAATGGTGCAAGAATTCAGATGAGTATATCAGTTCTTTGGCGTCAAGATTGAGGAGCAAGTTTGATGAGTACTGGGAGAAATGTAGCTTAGGGTTGGCGGTTGCAGCCATGTTAGATCCTAGATTCAAGATGAAGTTGGTAGATTATTATTATCCACAAATCTATGGTAGCACATCTGCAGGTCGAATTGAAGAGGTCTTTGAGGGCGTGAAGGCTCTATACAATAAACATTCAATAGGCTCCCCATTATCTCATGATCAAGGTTTGGCCTGGCAAGTTGGCAGCGGTCCACTTTGCTTACAAGGTTCTGCAAAGGACTCCAGGGATAGACTGATGGGGTTTGACAAATTCCTCCATGAAACTTCTGAGGGTGAAGGTGCTAAATCAGATCTAGAAAAGTACTTAGAAGAACCTCTCTTTCCACGGAATGTTGATTTCAGCATATTAAATTGGTGGAGAGTTCACACTCCCAGGTATCCTGTCTTATCCATGATGGCACGGAATATTTTAGGAATTCCAATGTCAAAAGTTGCACCAGAGTTGGCATTTAATTATAGCGGAAAAGTCCTTGATCGTGATTGGAGCTCACTTAATCCTGCTACTGTCCAAGCTTTGGTGTGTTCACAAGATTGGATACGGAGTGAACTGGAAAATTAGAATTTGCTTTTCCCCTGCATTCTAACTGTACATGCCTATTCTCCTCTTAGAAATATTTCCATTGTAAGTTAGATCTTCTAACTCCACATTTCAATTCTCATGACATTTTTGTATGAAGGTTCTTTTTAGCCCATAGCCTTATGCAGCTTAGCAAGTTGATTTTATGATTTATTTTACATTATTTTTTTTAATTGTTTCAGTCAGATGTGGGTTGTTGAAAACAAAATTGCTTATCATATGCGGCACTAGGAGAACTGTAAACATTTGTCTGCATAAACCAACCTTTCTTCATCTCAAATATACCAATTTTTCTATCAAAGTAATTTTTAATTTAATTAGGTTAGTTTAGTGTTTACAATCTAACCAACTGTCACCATAGTTAGCATTGGTTGTCTTTTTTATTAGATAATTTAAAAGTGATAATTTGAACATTGCTGAACTATGTTTTTTCTAAAAAATTTATTTGCAATATCATCCTCCTCGGGTGTCTCCTCTGATTTGGAAACTTTAATTATTGTTTGATATTTGACATGTCACTCCCTGGATGATTTTTTGGTTCATGGAAAGCTCATTTGGAATGCCTTAAATAAAGGATTGGGGAAAGGGTCAAAGGTGGGGTAGAGATGTAGGTCTTAAAAAGGAAGAGTATGTGATTGCAGTGAGGTTGAGACTACTGTGCAATTTTGGTTGCGTAGTGGCTGTCTTACGGATGTTTCACACAATTTTGTATCGATATGATGGAAATAATGCAACTTTTGAAGTATTGAGTATAACATCTTTTTATACGAGTTAAGCTGTTTTGTTTCAAAGCTAAGGGGAATGTATTTCTAATGTTATATGAGATAATTTTTCTCATGCAATATATAAAAAAGTGTGAATTTTTTTTTTCTTTTTCTTTTCCCGAGTGGATTTTGCATTTTTGTGTGTGTTGCATAACACAAATGAGACAATTTATTTCATTTAGCATGAAAAATATATTTCAGCAAAAGCTAATGTGTTCAGGTTGTGATTTTACACTAAACGCTGCTGCTATTTTTTTCCCCTTACTAATTACAGCTTTTTAAAAAGATTATTTTAAGCTTTTTGATTCTTGATTATTTCACAATTTGGAGAGAAAACTACTTACTTATCTTTCATTTTTTTTAAATTATTTTATACTAAAATTGGTAATTTGTTACATAAAGTAATTTTTTTATGCATAAGCACAGGAGCACTTGTTAATACATCATATTTTGAAAAACTATAGCAATTGACAGTCATTATCTAGATAGGGAAATTATTAAATAGGCATATTGTTCCCTCTAATTTGCTGGAATAAAAATAAAGTATAATTTCCTATAAGGGTATACTATTTATTTGCTTCGTATGGCTAATTTGAACCCAAAAAAGAAAAAGAAAAGAAATCTAAAAAAATCTGTGAAGTGCTGTAAGCCGAAAGTTAAACAAACACTAATTACAGGCATTTTGAAAAGATGAGTCTTTAAAATGCAACAATCTAAGATTCTCACGTCTTCTTAAATCATATCTAGAAAGAAACAAAATAATTATAATCATATCTAGAGAAAGCCCACAGACTTTCTCACTCAACTGGATTGAGTTGTTGTTGGTAACATCATAGACTTTGCTTGCATTGATCTAAATTTTCTTATGTTACATGATTCATTGGTAGAATTGTTGGTACGTGTTGTCTTATCTTTTATCCTATAGCACCGACACCGACACGGGATACATGACACGACACGACATTCCGATATGTTAATTCTAAAAAATGTTAGATTTCGACACGTTAGGACACGTTTTGATATTAAATAATATTTTTAATTTATGTAGTGTATATTATATTTAATATTCAATAATTTAATAAAAGAAATAAAGTTAAACTTATAATAGACATCAATTTTGCAAAGAAACATAAGATATCGCAAATATTTATATTAAACTCAATAAAATGGTAATCATAATCCAACGAATCTAATAGTTAAAATTAAAAACGCAACACAACTTTTGAACCATCTTTTGAGTTTCTGCAACACATGTTGGAGTATCGGAGAATGTCGGACACGACACGTCAAGATTTTTGAAGTGTCGGTTGAAGAGGAAAAACAACAGTTCGAGTGGATGGATCCGGTTTTTGATTCTTATCTTACCATTGTTAGTTCTCAAACACAATTTAACGCTCTTGAAACGTATGAAAGTTAAGTGGAATTCTTTACCAAATACAAATTGAAATGGATGAAGGTTGAATTTTGACTTAATTATTGTAGTTTATTACTTTTCATGGACGCGTGGATTGGTGAGAGTGAGACATTTAGAAAATATGCTGGATTTTTAACTATTTATGTAGACATGCATAAGTCATAATAAATTGTAATCAAAATTAAACAATTAATAGAAAGTTAAGTATATTGGAACAAAATGGTTTGGAGATTTACTATGTGATTAATTGTTTTGTTTGGAACTGTAAATATAAGCAATTATTTCTTGCTTGGTTTGAAGGAATGGAAATTGTAATGAGAATAACTATTAGAGTAAAGTATCACTTAAGGGTATATTTGTAATGTCAGCTGAGGGCACTTTTGTAATAGCTCAAGTAAGGATTAGTTAGTGTGGAACTGATTCTGTTCAAACAGAATCAGTGACGTGTCATCAATGTATCTCTATAAAGATCAACGTGTACAGTTCCTGATTCATTAAGAAAATATATGAAATACTTTAGCTTTCTCCCTCTTCAGCATTCTATGAATGTCTTCTCTCTCTCGTTCATCTCTTTCTTCATTTCTTTGATGGTATCAGAGCTCTCTTCCTGAGGGCCTGATACGAACGTGTTCACCATAGCTTCCGCATTGCCATCTCCGTCACTGTCTTCCACCGTAAACGCAACAGCAGAAGCTCGATCTTCATCGTCTTCGTCACTGTTCAACCACACGATCTCAGTCAAGCTAACTGAGAGCAACTTTCTTCTGTGGAATCAGGTTGTAGAACCTGTCATCACTTCTCACCAACTCCACAAATTTCTTGTCAACCCTAAAGTTCCTCTACAGTACGAGTCAAAACAAGATCGAGAAAATGAAGCAATCAACCCTGCATACACTGACTGGATCCGTCAGGATCAGATGCTCCTTTCATGGATTTTGTCAACGATCTCCGAAGATATACTGAACGAGATCTTAGGAGTCAGTCATGCATACGAAGCGTGGGACCAGATTCACAAGTTCTTCCAAGGAATGATGAGATCTAAAGCTCATCAACTTAGATCTGAGCTTCGAACCATGAAGAAAGGTGGAAGATCAGTTGCTGAGTACCTTAGACGTTTCAAATCACTGTGTGATGAACTGAAAGCTATCAAGAGTCCTGTATCCTTTGAAGAACAAGCCGAAATAATCTTGGCTGGACTTCCTGCAGAGTTTAATCCTTTTGTCACATCTGTAAGAGCTCGTGAGAATCCTTACTCGATAAATGATTTGCGAGTTGAATTAATGTCCTATGAACAGATGCTAACAAAGCAGAATGAAACACTCCTTGCTGAATCAATGTCTGTGAATGTTGTGCAAACAACTTCTGCTGATCAGAAGGACGAATCTGCACCTGGCAGAACTCCATTTGGTGTTATCCAACAGAATCATGATCAAAACTTTCAAAGCCAAAGGTCATATGGTTTCAGTAGAGGAAGAGGAAGGTCATTTGTTCGTAACAACAGAAATAGCAGGGGTAGAGGACGCAACAACCTGCAATGTCAGCTTTGCTACAAATTTAGACATAGTGTTCAAAGCTGTTGGTACAGGTTTGATGAAAATTTTGCACCTGAATCATCCTCACCTGAAGCTCCACACTATTTTCCAGTTACTCAACAATCTTTTCGAAGGCCACATCAGTATATTCGACCTCCTGCAAATCCTCCTCAAGTGCTGCTCACAGCAAATCAACTCACAACAAATCAACTTTAGAACACACTTCAACCACAGTGTAATGTTGCCTCACAAGGACAAGGAATCCTGCCAACTCCTCAAAATGTTCAAGCTATTGAGTGGTATCCGGACTCAGGAGCTTCTCACCATGTCACAGCACATCCTCAAAATCTTCTACAAAGTACTCAGTTGTCAGGAGCAGATCAAGTCTACATAGGGAATGGCCAAGGTCTAAGGGTTAATGCTACTGGTTTATCCTCCTTTCCCTCTCCTTTTAAACCACACACTTAACTACACCTTGACAATCTATTACTTGTACCTTCTATCACCAAAAACCTCATTAGTGTGAGTAAATTTGCCAGAGATAATGGAGTTTATTTTGAATTTCACCCCTTTACTTGTTGTGTAAAATCACAGGAATCTCATGAAGTGCTGCTGGAGGGTGACTTGGGTTCAGATGGTTTATATCGCTTCAAAGAAATCTGTCTCACTCCCAACTCAAGACAGAATTGTCATTCTACCTCACTGTCTCTTTGTAATACACCTATAAGTCATAGTTACATTTCTTCCAGTGTAAATTCGAAGTCTACAATAAATGTAACCTCTAGTCATCAGAAAGCTGTAGCTTCCTCATATATGTACTCCTTATGGCATTGTCGTTTAGGTCATCCTCATACTGAGGCTCTTAATTCTGTTTTGAAGTCTTGTAATCTCCCTATTCCAAATAAAAATGATGTTGAATTCTGCTCAGTTTGTTGTTTGGGTAAAATACATAGGTATCATTCTCCACCATCTACCACAGTTTATGCAAAACCTTTTGACTTGATATTCAGTGATCTGTGGGGTCCTGCCCCTATGACATCTACTTTAGGCTTTACATACTATATATCATTTGTGGATGCCCACTCCAGATATACCTGGATTTACCCTCTCAAACAGAAATCTGAGGCATTAGTGATATTTTCTCAATTTCAAGCTCTTGTCTCCAATCACTTTCAATCCTCTATAAAAGCCCTCCAAACTGACCGGGGAGGAGAATTTCGATCCTTTCATCAAACTTTAAAACAACAGGGTATTGTTCATAGGATCACATGTCCTCACACTCATCATCAAAATGGAGTGGTTGAGAGGAAACCTCGTCACATAGTAGAAACTGGTCTCACATTGCTTGCTCATGCATCTCTACCCATCAAGTTTTGGGATCATGCATTCATTTCAGC